GTATATTATATTTCAAGGTTGTATTACAGTCATATAAGAGATATATATATTACAGGTTATATAACAATAATTTTTTGGGGTATATTTTATCGTTATATTATAGTGATATATTAAATATTATATCCTGTTATATATCTTCCCACAAGAGAGGTAGATAACAGGTTGCTATCACGTCCAAAAACATGTTATTCCAACCCTGATATATTTTTACCGTCGAGGGTTATATCGGGCGGTCGTGATAACAGTCTGAAATGGTCGTAACTTCTGAGACTGACACAGTGTAGGTAGAGTCTTAACTAACCTCTGACGCCATCTTTGCTTTCGTAGCTAAAATGATTTAATTTTGGATTTTTTTTTAATACCTGAAGTTAAGAGTAAGAAAGATATATAATTAATGAGTCTGAGAATATATTTAACTTTGTCTCTTAACTGATGCTAAGTCAATGTTGTCTAGTTATGGTAGAGTCTTTGTGTAACTTTGGAGACATTTATGTGTGTGTGGTTTAGGTTAGGTTAGGTTAGGTTAGATACATTTCTAACTGTGGGTCAATATTCAGGGCAGGAATGTATCAGAACTCGGCCCCCGGCGCTGTACACTTCTGACAGTTGGAAAAATGACCGATTGTATTTTTGGCACAGCTGCCGTGTACACCCAGACACACAACGTACGTCCAGGACTCAGAATAAAGCGTGTACACAGACGGTCGTGGGTGTCAGCACAGGCGAACATATACAGGTATACATACATACTGTACATGCATGCATATACATATTAGTAAATGAACAAAAGTAAGTATACGTGTACAAACACACACACAGGTATAAAGTCATCCAGTTATTACTGAGCTTCAGTATGTAGACGACCTCACCCTTGTCGCTCACACTGAACGCGACCTACAGGAGATCCTGAACACCGACGCAGATGCGTATGCACACCTCGGCCTTAAGACTCAGATTCTCTTTCAACCTGCCCCTCTAATGTTGCCCACTTTCGGTATCTCGGCTCCCACCTGTCCACCACAGCAGACATCGATGAAGAGATTCAGCATCGGATCAGATGTGCATCTCAAGCTCTTGGCAGACTCCGAAATAGTGTCTTCAGCTGTAGGGAGCTGAAATTATCTACAAAGTTACACGTATATCGAGCAGTGGTCCTCCCCACCCTGCTATATGGCAGCGAGACATGGGTCACTTACAGGAGGCACCTTAAAGCATTTGAAAACTACGTTCCATCCTCCGAGTTCGCTGGGAAGACAAGAGAGCAAATGCCAGTATTATCGCTGACACCAAGTGCAGGAACATCGAGGCTACTACTCCACACTGTAACGCTTGGAGGAACACCACACGAGGTGTCAATTCTTTCAAGTCAGCCCGACTGCATACCGAGGCAGACAAGCGCCAACGCCGGAAAGACGCTGTCGCCGCACTAGATGCAGCCCACCACACGTGGCCCTGCCGGTCCTGCCTCGGCCTCTCGAGTCACCTCAGAGCTCACCAACGAAGGTGATATCCTTAATAACGCATATCATTGTATCATAGCTGGATGATCGTCATACTCGACTCCGAGTGACAGCAAAGTAGTAGTGTGTGTGTGTGTGTGTGTGTGTGTGTTTATGGGAATAACAACTAATATAATAATAATAAAAGAAGAAGTTAATGCAACAAAAATAAAAACGAAACAGAAGAAAAAATGCCAACCAGGGTGGACCTCGAAAATGACGTCACATCTTGACAGTGGTGGCGCAAGAGTTGCCAAGGTCAAGCTTTACTCACTGTCCCTGTGACTCTCAAACATCTTATTTAAGTAATACATCAAAAGACCCGAGTTGTTTAAACATACTTATGGGGAAATATAAGTAAATTGTGATGTTTTTCCAACTTATATTACACTTAAATACTACTTACTTAACCTACTGAAGAAATATAAGTTACTTGAATACTTTACTATGAGAAAATACTGGAGTCTAAGAGAGTGTGAGAGACCCTTGACTGACATCCGGCTGACACTCGGGGTCCTGACAGTGGTAACATTAATGATAAGGATGATGCCAAGTAATGCAGGAGAAGCTGAGATGAAGCTATTACACCCTCGAGCTTCTACTGCTGACACTGCTGACACTCTAGTAACACACTGCTGACACCCAATTAACATATCTCAAGAAGGTATTTCAGTTTCACCATCTGTACAATAGCTGACTGTTGACAGGAGATGACTGTAAGACTATGTGTACGTAGAAAATACACCTAACCTAACCACGGCCACACACACACACCCTTAACCACGGCCACACACACACACACACACACACACACACACACACACCCTTAACCACGGCCACACACACATTAACCACACACACACACCCTTAACCACGGCCACACACACACACAACCACACACACACACACCCTTAACCACGGCCACACACACACACACCACACACACACACACACCACACACACACACACACACACACACCTTAACCACACACACACACACACCACACACCCACACACACACATAACCACCCACACACACACACACCACCACACCACCACACACACACACACACACAACCACGGCCACACACCACACACACACACACTTACCACACACACACACACGGCACACACACACACACACACACACACACGGCCACACACACACACACACACACACACACTTAACCACCACACACACACACACACACACACACACACACGGCCACACACACAGGCCACACACACACTTCTCTGTGTATGTGTGTGTGTGTGTGTGTGTGTGTGTGTGTGTGTGTGTATACGCCACTAAACCACGGCTACTCAGGCTGTGGTTAGGAGTGGAAACTGCACGATGCCCGCCAGCTGTTCACACGAGTTAAGTAGAGGGACATCTGCAAGGTGACCACTTAAAATATTGGAGAAGGAATTTGATGAAAGACTGTCTGTCTGTGTCTGTCTGTCTGTCTGTCTGTCTGTCTGTCTGTCTGTCTGTCTGTCTGTCTGTCTGTCTGTCTGTCTGTCTCCACCCTTTCTCTCTTCTCACTCATCTCCTCTTCCTCCACTATCTCCCCTCTCCTCCTCTCTACCCCCTCCCCCATCTATTAGGAGTAGCAGCAGTCAGGGTTCGGGCAGGCAGGTGAGTGGGTGGGCAGGGCGGTGTGTGTGGTAGTGTGTGTGTGTGTGTGTGTGTGTGTGTGTGTGTGTGTGGCTGTTTGTTTGTCTTGTGACTGAATGACAGCAGTTGTTGTTGTGGAGAGGGAGAGAGGTGGGGAGAGGATGGGAGGGTGGGGAGAGGAGGAGAGTGGATGAGGGTGGGGGTGGAAGAGTGTGGGGAGAGGGAGGGTGGGACAGGTGGTGGGAGGGGTGGGAAGAGGGTGGAAGAGGGAGGTGGGAGAGTGGGTGAGGGAGGAGGGAGAGTTGGAAGAGTGAGGGAGAGAGATAATGGGAAGGATCTATATTTGTTCTGTAATGAGTGCGTAGAGAGAGAGAGAGAGAGACCCATCTGTAAATCATCGTTTCTATTATTATTATTATTATTATTATTATTATTATTATTATTATTATTATTATTAAACATTGCTATTTTTCCTCCATAAAAAGAATCCTGTCTTGGTTTTTATAGGAAAATCTTCAACAAAAGCGGAGGAAGGCAGAACCATTTATCCTTGTTCAGTTAAAATGGCAAAGCAAAAAATAGTAAAAAAAAGCTCTTATGAGAACAACAAAAGTGACCCAGTCCACTATTGTGTCTCAGTGCGGGGGACGAGTGGATAAAGAAACTCTTGCATCGTCCTAAAATACACTGGTTCGATCCCCGGGGCCGCTTATAGTCGATCCATATATTAAAGGATACAGCACCTGACTTTACAGTTTGGGGAAGTGTAGGTGGTCCAGTACAGTGTCGTGGATTATACATACATACATGAGCTCATCCCTCCTCTCGTGTGGTCGTCCGCCTAATAATTCCCACAAGATAATTGAAGACTCACCTGGAGGCTGTGTACGTCTTCAGGCGGTGCATGTCTGTCTGTATGTCTTAAGGCGGTGTATAGAGGCGGAAGACATACTACCTGGAGTATTGTATGAGTTCTGTATGTTTATATCCTGGTGGCTGATTGGATAGAACACTCAAGTCCTATCTGAAAAGGTCACTCGTTCGATCCCTGGTGAGGGGGCGCTCCTAGTCGACCCTGGTGGGAGAGGGTAGTGTGTGTTGGGCTGTCTCACGGCGTACTGAATGTGTGCAAGAAGTTATTGCTTCGTGTAGTGCTCTCTCTCTCTCTCTCTCTCTCTCTCTCTCTCTCTCTCTCCCATTCATCTTCCCCTCCCACACACACCCTACACACCCTACACACACACCCTACACACACCCTACACACACAGCTGGTCTATATCTGCCGTAGTCATTTACTAAAGCACAACACAGGTCGAGCCACAGTCTGCGTTCTGAAAGCATTCCTCGCACACCTCAAGGTCGCCCCTCCGCCTCTCCTTACCCCTCCTAATTGTTATTTATTTACCTGTTGACTGTACCTGGTTTAGTTAGGTTAGGTTAGGAGAAAAAGAAACACTAAGATTGTTTACATTACAGTCAGACAGACACAAGATCAGAGGAACTGTTGGTCTCTATAACCTAACCTAACCTAACCTAACCTAACCATATTGTTTATAATGTTTTTAATTGATAGAAATATTTATGTAATTTTAACTTCAGTTGTGTATGGATGTTTGTATACCTGTACTGTCTATCACTGTATACCTGTACTGTCTATCACTGTATACCTGTACTGTCTATCACTGTATACCTGTACTGTCTATCTACACTGTATACCTGTACTGTCTAGTACATGAACGATTATGAACTTGTACAATGATTTTACTGGAAATGTCTATATCACGATCTTGTTAACATACGTACACAAAAGTTTATAGTACACATATGTATACATAAATATATACACACTACACATCTACATACAACTGAGTACTGGCACTTACCTCAGTATGGTCGACCATGGGTGCCCAGGCCGAGCAAGTAGTTCAGCATTAACACTCAAATTTCACACTAAGTTGACTCCCGCACCACAGGAAACCGCGAGACAGCCGGTCGAGACACTCATCTGCCGGATACCGTGAGTGAGATACAGATAAAGTGTGGGAGTGAGTGAGTGAGTGCGTGTGAGTGAGTGTGAGTGAGTAAGAGAGCTGTGTTGCACGTCTTACCCCGCTAGAGGTCATGGTGAGACTAACTAAACTCACCAAACATTCACTCGCCAGGCCCGGCCAGCCAAACACTCGTTCCTCCCCCCCTCCTCCTCTCCGTCCCCATCTCTCTCTCTCCTCTCCTCAACCCCTCTTCCCCCCCTCTCTCTCTCTCAACCCCTCTCCTCCCCCCCTCCCACTCCACTTCATCCTCCCCCCACCCCTTACCCCCTGTACTCTGCATTTTCCTCATCTCTCACTGAGAAGAAGGGGTGGGTGGCTTCCCCCTTTCCTCCCTCCCCACTTCCTCTCCCTCTTAGTCTACCCTGTCATCCTAAGGGAGGGAGGGAGGGAGGGGGGAGGGAGGGTGGGGAGGGAGGGGGGGAGGTGGTCAAACATTACATATGCTTTTTTTTTTACATGCGCATAAGAAAGTGTGTGTGTGTGTGTGTGTGTGTGTGTGTGTGTGTATAAAAGAACAAGGGTGTGGGTGTACAAACCTGTTCTGAGAGTCACTACCACCATTTTCATTCACGAGAAAGAAGAAGAAATAATAATAATAACAATAATAATAATAACAATAATAACAATAATAATAACAATAATAACAATAATAATAACAATAATAACAATAATAATAATAGTGATGATGATGATGATGATGATGATAAGAAACAATCAGATATTAATTAAAGTTAAGCTTCTTTTATCTGGCCACCCCGATACACCTGAAGGTCAGGTCAGGTTGGGTTTTCATTAATCTTGCCACATTGTGTTGTGTTGTCGAAAGTGTCGTGGTGTGGTAAGTGTCGTGTCGTGTCGTGTCGTGGTAAGTGTCGTGTCGTGTCGTGTCGTGTCGTGGTAAGTGTCGTGTCGTGTCGCGTCATTGTAAGCGTCGTGTCGTGTCATTGTAAGCGTCGTGTCGTGTCATTGTAAGCGTCGTGTCGTGTCATTGTAAGTGTCGTGTCGTGTCATTGTAAGCGTCGTGTCGTGTTGCATTATGTGTTCGGGGAGAGAGAACGGAAAGCGATAAACAAGACGATAAACATGAAATCTCCTCACCCACCAAATTTTCCTCCTTTTTCAACAAGTTAACAAGAATGATATAAGTGTCCGTAACTAGAACACACAAACATTTACAAGAACGAAAAACTTTTATGAAGAATTAAAATTAAAACATTCAGTGTAAAACCAAACTCCAACACTCCTTAGTGATGTTAAACCCCTAAATTAGTCTTGTGTTCGTGGGTATCTATCAATCTATCTATCCTAAGAGTAGCAGATGTTAAGTAAAGACACTAATTCGTAAACAACAACAACAACAACAACAACAACAACAACAACAACAACAACAACAACAACAACAACAACAACAACAACAACAACAACAACAACAACAACAACAACAACAACAACAACAACAACAACAACATATACAGCAAGCAAACTGAATACTCTAAACAACATATACAGGAACATACTTTTAGAACAGTACGAGTCCAACTATACGTATGTTTGTGTATAAGGCAATGTTGTATGATATCTAATTAGCACTAATTATATATCCCTGTACAGATACGTCAGGTTAATTAGCCGTTATTACCTGGCCGTTGACACACACACACACACACACACACACACACACACGAATCAGCATCGTTACTTTACAGACAGACAGACAGACAGACAGACAGTACAGGTATACAAACAATGGTAAAAACTAAATCAATTTATCTTCAAAATATAAGAGTGAAGTGTGTAGCCCAAGAACGCTTTTAGACGCTCATTTGACTTTCATTATTATATCATTAATTTCTTGTAAACTCAGGTGGTGCAGGAAGCCATGTTTACTAAAGCTTAAACTTCTCAGGCTACTTCCGTGTTCTCTTAAAAAGGGGAAAAGGATCGTAAATCTAAGTAGAATTATTATTGGAACACGACAGAAACTTCGATATTTACAGTCATTTATACTTCAAATATACGATTCTTGGCTTCTTTCTCTCTTTTTTTTGCGATAATAGAAAAAAAAATCGATATAGCTATTTCATGAATATTTACAACGATGGCGTCAATGGGAGGTATCGTACGCTCTCTATCGTCTTGTTTACGTTTCGATAGCTGGTGCCAGATGTACGATAACCCGATTTTTTTTTTGTAGTCGTTGTACGGTTAAACATTCTCAACATTCTTCTTCGGGACTGCCAGGACATGTTCGCTTACATTCTTGTGGTCTATTGGATGTGTCCAGAAGAATGTTGTTACGAGGGACATGTGTGTGTGTGTGTGTGGGAATGGCCAAGTTAGTGCTTGTTATGGTAAGGATAGATTGACCATGAAGCTGTTTCTTTAATGTTTAGTTGAATGGTTCTCCTAACGTGACTATTAGAGAGAGAGAGAGAGAGAGAGAGAGAGAGAGAGTTAATCATGGATGACGTGACAGGTTGAGTAATCGTGAGAGTTGGCGTGTGTATGGGCGTGTGAGTGGGCGTGTTTGTGTGGAGGTGTGTGGGCGTGTATGTGGGCGTCTGGGTGTATGTGGGCGTGTGGATGCAGCACCTGGCCGTGGGCTGGGTGGTGTGAGCGCTGGCAAAGAGAGAGGTTGGCCGGCGGCTGGTTGGCTGATCCACCTACACGAAAATAGTGTTGATGAGAATACTGTCTACCTCCCCCTACCCCCTTAACCCTCCTCCCCCTTAACCCTCCCCTTCCTCCCCCTTAACCCTCCCCCTGGCACTGCATTGTCGTCCTTGTCACCCCCCAACTCCCTACCACACCCCCCTCACACATCCCCCCACCCTCACTGCCCACCCTATCACCCTCACTAAACAACGATGATTAAAAGGGTGAATAAGGGTGATTATTATAAAGGTGAATAAGGGCGAATAAGGGTGAATAATATAAGGGTGAGACTCCTACAGGTGCTGACAGTAAAGGAAAAAACTGTTGTGTAGAGTCGATGACGGGTGAACGGACGGAAAGAGGAAAAGAACGGACAGATAAACGAACAGAGAAGAACATACCGTACGTTAGCTTTAACAAGGGACCCCCCACAGACCTGGGAAAACAACAACTACAACAACAACAACAACAACAACAACAACAACACAAATAACAATAACAGCAACAACATTTAAAACAAAAACAACCACAACAAAAACATCAACAATCACAACCACAACAACAACAACCACAACAACAACCACAACCAACCATACCTCACATATCAAGGTTCACCAGAAGGCCAACACGCGATACATCCTCCAACACTTCATTCTCTGGCCACATATTTTACGACACACAAATTGGTGACACGAGATTGTCTATTTTACCTGAGTCTTGATTATGATGTGTGTGTGTGTGTGTGTGTGTGTGTGTGTGTGTGTGTGTGTGTGTGTGTGTACGTGTGTGTGTGCGTGTGTACGTGTGTGTGTGCGTGTGTACGTGTGTGTGTGTGTACGTGTGTGTGTGTGTACGTATGTGTGTGTGTGTGTGTGCGTGGGGTTCACCTGAAGACTAACTAACCTAACCTAACCTAACCAACACAGACGGAGCCATAACAGGTGTGCCTAACCAGGTGAGATCATCGTGACGTCAGAGTTACCCATTATATTGTTCAAGAGGAAATACCTGACCTAGTGTACCTGCGGGGTCACCTGGAGGTATGATTAGGACCAGCATGCAGAAACAGTACAGGTTGGCTCATAAGTCGGGTACCAGGAAGGAGAGAGAGAGAGAGAGTACTACATTTCACCTCCTCCTCAAGGGCTCATCTCGACAGCGTAAAACCAAGATGATAGCAAGACGTGATTGGTGCAAATTGACAACACCTTCTTGGAGGAGAGAGGGGGAGGAGGAAGAGGAGAGGAGGGAGGGGAGGGAGGGAGGAGGAGGGAGGGGGGAGGAGGGAGGGAGGGGGAGGGAGGAGGAGGGAGGGAGGAGGGAGGAGGGAGGAGGAGGGAGGAGGTTGGGGAGGGAGGGAGGAGAGGAGGAAGGAGGAGGAAGAGAGGGGGAAGGAGGGAGGAAGGGGGAGGGAAGGGGGGAAGGGGGAGGAGGACATCTTCTCAATTTTTAACTTGGTTTAGAAATGCCTAACAATAACATATCATTTTATACTGAGAAATATTGTCCGTCTTAGTGCTGGAGACCTGAAGACGCTGTGAGGAGGGAGGGAAGGAGGACAGGAGGGAAGAGGGGACAGGGGAGGGAAGGGGGACAGGGGGGAGGAAGGAGGACAGGAGGGAAGGGGACAGGGAGGAAGGCGTTCAGAGGAGAGAAGGAAAGATTTACATTAGGGAGTTTTTGACGGAGTGAAGGAAGGTAATTTTAGGCCAAGATTGAGGCTATCTTGAGGAGATTTCTTAAAACAAAAAAAGGCAGAAATATTGTCCCTAAAATTAAGTACCTCACCTGTTGAAACTCATTAGTGATCAACAGGTGAGAGAGGAGTTGTTATTTTTGTTCCAATGAACCGGAAGATGAGCCATGGTAACGACACCTCCCCACCCCCTGCTATATTTATAAGGAGTAGAGGTACACATTCAGAGCCAAGTGTACCATGAGTACCTTGGATGTGTACCGGACTGACAGGCACACACACACGTGGGTCATCCTACCTCAGTACCTTGATCTTGCCTCTTGCAGATGAGTCATTCCTCCCACCCTCCTTCTTCTTCTCATCCTTGCCTCTACCTCCTCCTCCTCCTCCTCCTCCTCCTCATCTTTCTCCACCTCCTCTTCCTACTTGTCCTTCACCCTCGCCCCACTCCTCCTCCTCCCTTTACTTCCCCTTCCTCCTTCTCTCTCCCTTCACCTTCTCCTCACCCCACTCCTCCCCTCTTCCTCCTTCATCCTTGACAGGTATGTACCGCCATGGCCGTGTTAAGGTCACCGCTCCAGACCGCCGCCATAATGTAACGCCTGAGTGGTATTTCAGGTTGAGTTTCTTTGTTTATTTGAGGGGTTGTGTTGTGGAGGAAGTGGGGGGGAGGTAGGAGGTAGGACAAAAGAAGGGATGAGGAAGGGATAGGTTGAT